AAAAGAATGATGGCCGACAACTGCAACAATTAGAAAAGAATGATGGCCGACAACTGCAACAATTAAAAAAGAATGATGGCCGACAACTGCAACAATTAGAAAAGAATGATGGCCGACAACTGCAACAATTAAAAAAGAATGATGGCCGACAACTGCAACAATTAGAAAAGAATGATGGCCGACAACTGCAACAATTAGAAAAGAATGATGGCCCACCATACGTCATAGTGAAGTAATAAAAATGGCCGGGGGCAGGGGAAGAACTAGTTTTCAATTAAACTAATTTTTGTAAAGGGCTATAGTCTGTTGATGCTTGAATAAACAACAAATTAAAACTAAACGTTAATATGTGTATAATACAGTTGAAGTATTAAGGAGTAAACAGACCAGACCAGAAACAAAAATTTGAATCTGTAAGATGCTAATTATGATCATGACTTATGGATTATAACAGATGGTCTAATTAGTGGATATTGGGAAAATTAAAGAGGTGCTTGCCCCAAAATGGAAAGGCCCAGGGTAAACTCAAAAACAGTAACAAGTAAGTGAAACAAAACATCTATCGAACATTATGACTACATATTAAACTAGGTACCTACTTGAATTAGAAGAAAGAAATTACTGTAGCGATATAGAAGTATACATTATAAACACTAATATGAAACATGTAGAAAACACTTACTTGAACCAGGCCTATCAGCTTCTCTAACCACGTGGGTCATACCAGCTTTATAGCCGATAAAAGCCGTTAAATGTACGGGTTTGCTAGGGTCATCTTTAGGGAATGCCTTTACTTTACCACGATGACGTTGAGAACGCTTTTTGGGATAGAAACCCATAGACCCATGGCGAGGAGCACTAAATTTTCGGTGTGACTGCAATCAAAAATGCTACGTTTAAAATATTTTTTTTGCATTACGATTATTTCTAAATCGTGTTTTAATAAATCTCAGACCGCCCTAGACATTTCGTCAATAAATATCAGTATCTAACCATAATTGTACACATTTTCTAGAATCATCATGTATCCAACAAATTACAAAATAACCACCAAATAAAACAGACAACCAGCAGTATTGTCAATATTTAAATTATAATTAATTTAATATCCTATGATTGCAATAATAATTTAAGATAAACACATACCATCTTGGCGTATACCACACCTATTCACCAACTGCACAGGAAGACGACGCAAACCAAAATGAAGGAATGGAGTAGATTAATATGGCACGTGAAAAATAATAATGAATGACTAGCTGAAGAGGATTATGGGAATTTAATTCATCCCCACCCATTCATCCCGGTCTTTTTGAAATTTCCAGGTCTTTTTCAATTAAATTAAAAAGTTTTAAAAATTATGAAAATGTAATGAATAGATCAGTCTGTCATACCCTCATTTACAATATTCGTATATTATCTTTATCAATAACCTATACATTTTTTACTTTTCATTAAACAAAAACCAGTTAAAATAAAGACAATGTTTTTATTTATTACAACTACTTAAGTTTGTAAATCATTACTTCTCATTACTTTAAAATGTTTGCATTTACTGCAAGGGTATTCTTTTAATAATAATTTAACTGAATGGATCATGATTTAATAGTAACGATAGTGGAGGTTATGTTTTTATACCTTGCGCTTGTAAATTAATTTTAGTAAAACTCATTGGTTATTGTTCTGTTGTGAAACCTATAATTTAATGTTTAAGATTTAAGACACTGATGTATAATTTTATGTTAATATTAATAATACTCGAATAATACAATTGCTGCCCCTTATAGATCGTAACCTAAAAATATAATATACACAATTACAAACGTAATAAATGTCTGTTCTTCGATTAACTTCTTTAAGAAAAGCTACATTTTATTTTATTAAACAACATAGGTATTGTTATCAAATGCTTAAAACGAAATTTTGTTAAAAACTACTGTTATTTTTTTAGAAAAAATATTCCAATATCTTGTAGGGCACTTTCAAAAACTGTAAGTGAAACAGAAGATGAAGATAAACCAATTAAGTTTACAGAAAGTCCTGCTAGCAAGTGGAAAGCGGCAACATCCAGGTCAGGAATTAAAGATGATAGATTATGGTACGAACCGTATGTAGTATTAGCAAGTGTAGCAGTATTTATGGTTTACTTCTGTATATTAAGAGAAGAAAATGATATTGATAATGAATTATCAAGATCACTTTATAATAGAATTGAAGGATTAGAAGAACACCAATTAATACAATCATTGCATTATAACGAACAACATGGACTCCCCACACAAGATATTTTGAAAAGATTGGAAGAAATTAGAGAAGGAAATTGATATAACTAAGTCTATTTGCACTGTAAATATCTGAATTGATTTCAATTTTATTATTATGAATGGTTTTATGTAGTATTTGGTAATAAATATTTAATTTAAATAAAGAAGACATTTGCAACCAAAATCTACTTTATTAATTTTTAAAACATACAAAAGATTATATTAGATACAACTGTCTGTAGTTGAATGAATAATGTATATATAAATAACAAAATACAGTATTTTGTTGTGCTGCTATTTTACTTTAACAAAAGTAACATCATACAAAATCAAAAGGAAATAGAAAGTAATTTAACTCTTATTTATTGAAGTGATGCATTTTAATATACATTACTCAAAAAACTACATATTTTGATACATCTATTCTAATCATGTTTTAATTTAAAAATAATGAACACTTAGGAGTCAAAGTAATTTATCAAGTACCTGATATTAAAGAGGGCCAAAATACATTGACAACTCTGCAGTTATTACATGATAAAACTGTGGATTACTGTAATTATTTCCATACATGTATAATATGTATTAAAGCTAAACTACACATTAAAATGAACGTTAATTTCTACCGATGTTACATTAATAATAATATAAAAAATACAATGGACTGAAACGAAAAAAAAAAACACGAATACTTATACTAAAAATCATACATAGCTGAAATGTTTAAGCACGTTCTCCTCTAATACGACGAGCAAGTTGTATGTCTTTAGGCATAATTGTGACACGTTTTGCATGGATGGCGCACAAATTTGTGTCTTCAAAGAGACCTACCAAGTAGGCCTCACTGGCTTCCTAAATATAACATAAAATTACAAACATTATAAAAAAAACAGACTAATGTTATTCAAAACATAATTAAATCATTATTTCAGCCAAACAACATTGATAGAATCACATGTTTGTATAGGTAACACTGTGTAATACTTATCACCACATAATAATAAAATTATGCAAGTTTGTTTACTAACCTGAAGTGCTCCAATTGCAGCTGACTGAAATCGGAGATCTGTTTTAAAGTCTTGGGCAATTTCACGAACAAGTCGCTGAAAGGGCAATTTCCTAATCAGTAATTCAGTAGATTTCTGGTATCTTCTGATTTCTCTCAAGGCGACAGTGCCTGGACGGTAACGATGGGGTTTTTTTACTCCTCCTGTTGAAGGAGCTGATTTACGTGCAGCTTTTGTTGCCAGCTGTTTACGAGGAGCTTTTCCTCCTGTTGATTTACGTGCGGTCTGCTTGGTACGCGCCATTTTGTTTACTCACCTGGGGCAAAAAATTATTGATTACAGACCGAAAGTAACAAATAATATAAAGTTCAAAAGAAAACCAAAATATGCGTGTCACAACTTATAAAAAGGCAACTACAATGTCTATCGAATTTATGTTCAATAATACAGCCAATTACTTTAAGGAAAACAAAAGCATGAAGGAAATGCAAATGAAAACATAATGGCGGACCATCAAATTTTACATTAAACTGAAGTGAAAAGTTGTTCAGGAATTTCTAATTACTTAAGAATTTACTTCCCGAAATACCATAGCATAAATGCTTGAATTGTAAAACGTATAAGAATGAAGCTTATTATTTAAAAAATAACAGAAAAACTTACGAAATAGATAATAACTATTTATTGATCAGCAGAAGAACCGCTCTCACCGAAATCCTCAACCAAACTAAAAGTGGAGGGGAAGACGAGGAAAATGAAAATAAAGGACGCTTGCTTTGATTTGCTGTATTCAGACTCTGCTTTCTAATTGGCTAGCGTATAACTTTTGCTCATAACCGCCAAGATTTAAATTTGATTTTACAAAAGCGCGCTCTAACAATAAATGACAAAAATTGTTCCTTATTTTAATGGTTATCCTCCTAATAATACTTTTTGTGATACTTTTATATTAACGAGTATGTATTGCAGCTCATGAAATAAGTCAGTGAATATTTTATAATTTTTATTATTTATAAAAGCATTACAAACAATCTGACAAGTCGATACATCACCCAACAGTCTATTAAAAAATACTCTTCATTCTCACACTTTCCCAAGACACAAATTCTCTTTTAGCTTTATGTTTGTACTCGTTTGAATTTCTATATTACTTATTAATCTAAAAATTTAACAGCAACACCGCTTAATAAAAGGTAAGTGAAATGGTATATCTTTGTAATACAGATGAATAATTGATTTTTGATTTTGTACTTGCATAGATTGCATAATGTCCAAAATTAAAAAAAAATGGAATAAACACAAATGGTAGATTGTTCCCTAAAACAATGAAAAATAAATGATAAAATGTGAAAAGGTGTTTGAAATCAGAATCTCAAAAAATTTAAAAATAAAAATATAATTTGATATTCTAATATAATTGTTAATATTTAAGAGTACAGAAGTTATACATTTTTTGTAAATTAAACTGTACTAACTATCAAGTCTAGGTTTTTGATAAGCCAAAAAAACACGTCAACATTACAATATACATATTTCAAAAAGTAACAATTTTAATATTTTATTAAATTAACGAGTATGTAGTCTATTTTAATTTAATAACCTAAAAATATAATATACACAA